TTCCATGATTCACATGTTGAGGAGTTGGTGGTGGATTGTGCATAAAGACTCAGAACACATAATTCTACTTCAGGAGGTAGGCTTAGAGGTACTGTGCCCAGATGGGGCCTGGCTCCTCCACATACATAACAGGTAGTCTTATTATGTGAGTTGGCGTTATATCTCATCCATTCTAGCCACAAATTAGTGTCTGAAAACCCAGTCTCTACTGTCATAGTGTCTTCAAAGGTGGGATTGGCTATAGCTACCATGTCATGTAGAGTCTTAATATGTGGTTTTAACGTGTTAACAGTCATGTGAGTGGTTCCTACCCAGTCTGGTGAGGTGAGCCTTTTTGCTAGGTATGTCCTTATATACAGCTGCATGTTGTGTTTGTGGAAAAGGTGCAAACAACTATGTCACAGTAATCAAAGGTGTATGTAGCTACATCTGTGTTAGAAGAATTGTACCAGAAAAGTGTAAACATGATTATCTTTGGTTATGGCCGCTTGTTGGGCCCAGGCAAAGTGTAGCAGCATAAGAAAACACAAGACACATAATAAATTCATATTTCAGCAAGATTAGCCTCTTCTGGAGCAGGCACTTTTTTGTAATGTGAGGCGTGTATCCAAGAACTCTTCCCGGCTAGTTTAACTGACGTTGCTGTAATCAGGAGCACTTGATATGGGCCATCAAATCTTGGTTTTAGGGTGTGTTTCCTGAGAAACTTCTTGACCATAACCCAATCACCAGGAAGCAGCTTGTGTGTACCTGTATTTGACTCAGGATCTGGAATAGAAGAAAACACTTGGGCATGTATTTTGGTCAAGGCATGTGAGAGGGCAGTCACATAGTCTACCATAGCATCTGACTGAATCTGAAGCTGTTGGGGAAAGTAACAACCTAACCTGGGTGCTGTACCAAACAAAATCTCATAAGGTGATAGGCTATATTTTCCCCTAGGATTGTACCTTACACTAAACAACGCTAATGGGAGACTCTCGGGCCAGGGCATGTTAGTTTCTTGTGACATTTGAAGCATTCTGGCTTTCAAAGTGCCATTCATGCGCTCTACCTTACCACTACCCTGTGGGTGATATGGTGTGTGGAATGCAAGGGTCACCCCCAGTGCTGGCCAGACTTCCCGTGTTAGTGAGGCAGTGAAGGAGGTCCCTTGGTCACTTTCAATTACTTCTGGAACTCCATAGCGGCAAACAATTTCTGTCAAGAGATACTTGGCTGTAGTCCTCGCGGTGAGATTAGTCACTGGGAAGGCCTCTGGCCATCCTGAAAACATGTCCACTATGACCAATGCATATTCATAACGTCCACTCTTTGGCATCTGAATGTGATCAATCTGGATCCTCTGGAAGGGGTATTGTGGTTTAGCTAGATGATAAGGTGCAGTCTTTATAATCTTTCCAGGATTGCATTTAGCACATATAGTACAAGATTTACAGATATTCTGTGTTAAGGTAGTGATGCCTGGTGCTTCAAAATACTTGTCAATCAATGAGTTCATCAGATGTTTTGACAGGTAGGCTGGCCCATGGGCCCATTGGACCACCGCTGGATACATATTTCTGGATAGGCAAAACTTGAGATTGATAGTGTAAACATCATCACGGAGTACAGCTCCCTTGTTCTTCCAACCTTGTTTCTCCTGGGGAGTAGCAGTAGCTGGTTGTTCCTTTAGAAGCCTAAGATCCGTAGGCAGTGTCTGCATAGTGTAGATGGGTACTGCATCTGTGGCCACTCTTCTGTCCACTTCCCATCCTTGTCGTGCTGTTTCCTTAGCGGCCTGATCAGCTAAGTGGGGAAATATCAGGGTCACAGTCTATGATGAGTGGGTCCTCATAGACGTCTGTGTGGTACCTAGGGTACCCTGCTGTACAGTAGTTAATAGTCTTTTTGCTGGTCCCCATAGAAGTCAGTTGTTCTTGGTTCATTTGACTCCAGGTCTTGGCCATCGGGCCTAGGTCTTTCCATGAGGTGTCAGAGGATCTGGTGAGAGATATGTGTGGGATAGCTGTTTCCCAATGATGGTAGAGATGTGTCATGTTCTCTGGAAGATGGACTAAGATGAGCATGGTACCTGTGGGGTCCCATAACAAGTCAGTCAGGGTAATTGGAATTTCCTTGAGCTGGAATAATTCTTCCTCATAGTTCATATCAGGGCCTGGTCTGTCTTTAAACCATAAGGTGCAGTGAAGTAGGGCCTCTGACTGTTCATTATGTGGGGGTGCAAGTGCAGGCAGCTGCAAATCTGCTCAAACCTCTGGGTTGATGTCCAGGCTATACCAGTAATGCACAATTCCCCCCTTGGGAAGTGGCAGAAGAGTGGCCGGGTTCAGGGAGAGACATCGCTGAAGTTTCACATTGTCAGGTTACAGTATGGATGTTTGTAGACGAAGGTAACGTTGAGAAGAAAGGTGCTTAGGTTGAGTTTGTTGCAGGATTGCAGTAATGTCATGAGGGGCCAACACTGTGAGGTGGTGGCCAAGAACAAAATCATTGGTCTTGTCCAGGAGAGCACTGGCGGCGAACACCGCTCGGAGGCAAGAGGGGCTACCCCTTGCAACAGGGTCAAGCATGCAGGAAAAATAGCCAATAGGGCGTTGTCTTGAGCCATGTTTTTGGGTGAGGACTCCGGAAGCATGTCCTGATTTTTCAGAGACAAAAAGGTTGAAGGGAAGTTGGTAGTTCGGTAGGCCCAAGGCAGGTGCAGAAGCAATAGCTCTTTTCAGAGTGCGGAAACAGATGATAGTTTCTTCTGTGAGATGGAAAGGTTCGCTCCTGAGGGCATCATAGAGTGGCTGCATGAGTTTTGATGCTTCGGGTATCCAGGATCTGCAGTACGTGATTAGACCCAGGAAAGCATGGAGAGCTTGGTGGGTAGCAGGTAGTGGAAGGAGCAGAATGGCTTGTACACGGTGGGAGGTGAGATGTTTGGTGCCATGGGAAAGGCAGTGTCCCAAGAAGACCACAGAGGGCCGGCACCATTGTAACTTGGATTTGGAGGCTTTGCAACCAGCAGCAGCAAGAAAACATAGGAGGTCTTCTGAATCACGCTCCGCAGTGAGTAAATCAGGAGCACAGAGAAGGAGATCATCAACATATTGAAGCAGGACGACATCCAAATGAGATTGTTGCCAGGGTTCCAACACCAGTGACATGGCGTGTGCAAATTGTGTAGGGGAATTCTGAGCCCCCTGAGGCATGACAGTCCAGGTGTATTGCTGTCCTTCATGGGTGAAGGCAAAGAGGAAACGACATGAAGGGTCAAGGGGGACACTGAAGAAGGCGTTAGCTAGATCCACCACAGTGAATATTGTTGAGGTTGATGGGACTTGGGATAAGAGGGTGTGGGGGTTAGGAACAATGGCAGTGTCTTTGATGGTCACATCATTCACAGCACGGAGATCTTGTACCATACGATATTGGTCAGGTTGACCTTTAACAGTTCTCTTTTTAACAGGAAAAAGTGGAGTATTGCATGGAGACGAACACTTGATGAGGGCACCTTTGGTAAGGAGACTTTCAACTTGTCTGGTAATGGCTTCAGCTTGTGCAGGCTTTAGAGGGTATTGTGGTCTGCGAGGAGGCTGTGCCCCGGGCAGGAGCTGAACCAAGACCGGGGGCACATGCAAACGTCCAATATCATCCGGGCCGGTGGAACAAAGATCAGGTGGGATACGATCCAGAGCACTGGGGGGGTGTGTGACCCGTGCACTCCCTGTATTGTCAGTTAGGTTCAACAAGATGGGGAGTGAGCAGAGTACAGTGGTGTCTGACTGTGATAAGGGTGTAGTTAACTGGACCCTGGAGCCGAGAAAGAACATCAGCACCCAAGAGGTTAATGAGACAAGTAGAAGAAACAACAAAACGTGAGAGTATGTGTGAACCAACATGCAGGAGTGTAGGGAGGGGGCTACTGCGGGGTGTACCATCCACCCCAACACAGGAGACATCGGTGTCTGACAAAAAGGAGGGGTCATGGCAGGGGTTGCTGACACAGGCTTGCCAGTAACCTATTGCAGTAAATCTAAATGGGCCTGGTCGGGTCCTTGGTACCGGCGGGTAGAAGTGGGAGGGTGGCTGGACTGCATAGGAGCACGGGCAAGGCGGCTTTGTCGAGGTAGGGGCTGAATATCTCGGAAACCACCCGTGTCAAACCCATCAGCGGGAGCTGGAGGGTATGCACGGGCCTCTAAAGCAGGGGGCCGGCTAGGATGGGCGTGATAGGTGAGTATTAAGGGTGGGAGGAGGTGGAGGAGGAGGAGGTAAATCAGTGGGAGGCGGGGCAGGAATCGCGGAATTAACCAGGGAGGTAACTTCAGAGAAGAGGGCGGATGTCGAGCTAGACAGGTCATTGGCCATGGTTGGGTCAGGGGTCACCGGGGGAGAGGTCGGAGGGATGGGAACAGGGGGCTGGGTCGTAACAGCGTGGGTAAACCAGTCGGGGGAGGAGGAGACAACGAGGTAGAGGGGGCCGGGACTTCGGGAGGAGGAGGTAACACTGGAGAAGGGGTTGGAGGGGTGGTAACGGGGGGTTGGGTCAGGGCGGTGAGGGCAGAAATCAGGGACGGCAAATCGGCCGAGGGAGGAGGAGGCAACGAGGTAGAGGGGGCCGGGACTTCGGGAGGAGGAGGTAACACTGGAGAAGGGGTTGGAGGGGTGGTAACGGGGGGGGTTGGGTCAGGGCGGGGAGGGCAGAAATCAGGGACGGCAAATCGGCCGAGGGAGGAGGAGACAACGAGGTAGAGGGACCGACTTCGGGAGGAGGAGGTAACACTGAGAAGGGGTGGTAAAGGGGGTTGGGTCAGGGCGGTGAGGGCAGAAATCAGGGACGCAAATCGGCCGAGGAGGAGGACAACGACAGAGGGGACCGGACTTCGGAGGAGGGAGGTAACACTGGAGAAGGGGTGAACGGGGTTGGGCCAGCGTGAGGGCAGAGGCTCAGGGGACGCAAACAGCCGAGAGGGGAGGAGGCACCCAGGTAGAGGGACCGATATCAGAGGGGGGGGTACCACGAGAAGGCTGGGGTTGGAGGGGTGGGAACGGGGGGCTGGGTCAGGGCGGTAAGGGCAGAGATTAGGGACGGCAAATCAGCCGAGGGAGGAGGAGGCAACGAGGTAGAGGGGGCCGGGACTTCGGGAGGAGGAGGTAACACTGGAGAAGGGGTTGGAGGGGTGATAACGGGGGGGTTGGGTCAGGGCGGTGAGGGCAGAAATCAGGGACGGCAAATCGGCCGAGGGAGGAGGAGGAGGCAACGAGGTAAAGGGGACCGGGATATCGGGAGGGGGGTACCACTGGAGAAGGGGTTGGAGGGGTGGGAACGGGGGGCTGGGTCAGGGCAGTGAGGGCAGAGATTAGGGACGGCAAATCAGTCGGGAGGGGAGGGGACAACGAGGTAGAAGGGAGGTCCGGAGGCATAAGGGAAGCGGGATCAGCGGGAGGACAAGGGTCTGGAGGATCTGGGGCGGGGGGGTGAGTAAGGTCGAGAGGGCAGAGAGCGGGGCAGCGGATGGAGACGGGTGAGTGGGTAACACTGGGGAGGGGTCAGTCGAGGTGGAGAGGGGACGAGAGGCAAGCATAGGTAAAGGTGGCGGGGGACAGGGAGGCGGAGGAATGTCATTTAACGTAAAGGATGTTACTGTAAACATACGATTTTTAACTAGCAAGATTCTATTAAGTAAAGATACAATGTTTAAAATAACTTGCATTATTTTGCAATAACCCTTGTTGCAAGACACAGGCATTAATGAATAATCATCAGGATAATTAGCTGTAATGCTCTTATATTCGTGCCCTACAGAACTCATTTGTAGGTCACACCACAGGTGCAAATGACTCTTTAGCAACCTCCTTTTTTTTTTTTTTTTTTTTTTTAAATATCACGGACACATCTCTGATACAGGGAAACAAATGGCATGATTGTTTTAGTTAATATAACGTTTCAGTTCATAATATGTAGAGTGTAATGTCTCTAAATAGGACGAGCATGATAGGGGTAGGCCTCATGATGGAGGCAGCCATGACAGGGGCGGGGAAGGAAATGACAGCAAGGGAGGAAGTGAGGTGACGTCCATGATAGGTGTGGGAAAGGAAGACAGGAGGTGTGGGCATGGTAAGGGCGGAAGTGACGTTACTTTAGAAGCAACCGTGACTGTAGATAGGTCACGGGACTTTCAGGGTCAACCTGCTTCTGTACTAGGCGCCATCTTTAGGGTGGTGGCTGACGTCACTTTCAACAATACACCATATTATAACTAATAAAATAAGTCAGAGAAGCAACATTCCGTTCTGCAAAATGAAATATTAAACTATGAACAGACCTGGCAGGTTAAATAAGACAGTTGAGAACATTATGCATTTAACAGCCCATAAAGCTATCCATTGAAAAATGTACTTTAACATGAAGCAAGATAAACTCACGGAATTCAACCAATTTCCCTTAACGTCCTCTAACCATTAATCACTTTCCTCCTCTTATACAGACATAACAACATCGCATATTCCCCTTAACAAGCTACAAGCTACACCTTCCTAAATCCCGTATTCAACACTGAATGCAATCTTGTGAGCTCGTCACTCCCACAATCCTCAGTACCTTATCTCAAAAATTAATTTAAAAATATATATATAGCACTACGGAATCTGTTGGCGCCATGCAAATGGCAACAATGATAATAATATTACACAATTATAGCTCCATAACCTGCCTGACAACGTCTATGTATGGAACAATGTACACAATACTACACAATTAGAATATTTTCTCTCTAACTCTTATCAGTAGCTCCGAAATGCAGAAATGTAGGCAAGCGGGGAGTAGGGGTGGGAGAAAGTGTGACAGTGCAAAAAGGGGAGAGAGAGAAACTGCAGGCATGAAGATTAACCATGTGAGCTCCGTAAAGTAACAAGACAGAAGGACAGAGATTTATACGTTTGGAAACCAGAAATCTTTGCTAACTTTTTCATTTTCAGCATAGCTTCTTCCCCTGCCCTCTCTTTAACAATATCACAAGCCAAATACCCCTTAGCTGGTCTAGTATGTGCTTGCCCCTTTTTGACCAAGCGAGGTCTGCCAAGTAAAGGAGACCAAGTGAGAGGGAAGAAGAAGTAGGAAAGTCTACAGTGCTCGACTGACTAGTCACGATGGTCTGTGCACCCGGGGGAGGTGGCCACAGACCGGAGGGGGCGAGCGTGGGTGACTAACACAGCTCTGGGCAACAAACACAGGAGAGATAAAGGACAAATGAAAAGATGAAAGTGGTTACACTAACAAGAAGACATTTGCAAAAATCACAAACATAGAGATGAGTGTAAACCCCAGAATCCAGAACTAGCCACACTATATACATACACACACACACACACACCAAGGGTACCCACACTGTAACAACAATTAAACAAAAAACCACAGAATGACAGAGAGAAAAATGGCCATGTACATGTTAACACCACTAGTACCAAATATTTAAAATGTAGCAATCCCCAGCCCTCCCCCACCAGGCTGGCCCCGTTATAACACAAGTACCAATAAAACTCTGCAGAAATCAAACAAAATCCCAGCCCCACCGGCTGTAATGCGTTCCCTGCCCGCTAGGCAGTCAAGCTAACATATAAAACCCAGCCCCACCGGCTGTAATGCGTTCCCTGCCCGCTAGGCAGTCAAGCTAACATATAAAACCCAGCCCCACCGGCTGTAATGCGTTCCCTACCCGCTAGGCAGTCAAGCTAACATATAAAATGCGTTCCCTGCCCGCTAGGCAGTCAAGCTAACATATAAAATGCGTTCCCAGCCCGCTAGGCAGTCAAGCTATTGTCTTTTAAAAAGGGGGAAAACACACACTCCAGCCGTCACACACATTCAAACAAATACAGGAGGCAGATAGACAATCGACAGGTTCACTTTAAAAAGGCACCCCGGATGAGCTAAATACCTGTCTCTAGTAGCCTTCTGGAAGCCGGAAGTGGACTCGGAGACAGACCGACACAAAACAGGAGAATAACACAGGCGACGGCTGTATTATGGAGGTGATCAGGCTCCGCTTGTCCCATTTTCTGGGGGTCCGCTCTGGTCCTTGGTATCCGGCCCTCCGAACCGGCAAATCCGGGGGCCCCACGTTATGGCGCCAATTGAAATGGAAAAATCAATTAAAGTATTGATTATTTCTTTGTGTATCTGCCCCTGGCCAAATCAATGAAACAATGCGTGCACGCTCCCTGAAGTAATTCACACCAGACACAGGTTCTAGGTTGTTGAATAACTTGAGGAAAGTTTATTCAGAGGGGACGGCAGGTCCCTTTTAAAGCAAAATTATATCATAAGCATTGTCAGAGATAACATGGAATAATACATCAATAATTGGTTAAGTGTTAAGTGTTTTATTCAAAGCACGTCCTACAGGGTGGGCCTTCTTATGTCATTACTGTCGTCATGGAGTTCTCCCCCAGGATTCCAGCGCCATCTTGAAAATTAGAGTGTTTGGTCGATGGGTGGGGTACTCCTGAGTGACATCTAGTGGTCAGTTTAGTAATTTATTGAATAATATTAAGTATAACTAAATGAAGTAAATAAACATTTTACTAGCTAAAAATATGTCAATATTTCATGTCACCAGGTCCATGAGGGTCTCCCACGGTTTCCCGGCGCCATCTTGCTGCACGAGGTAGTTAGTCGGTGTTTAAAGGGGCAGGGGGAGGAAGGGGTTAGAAGCTTCTAGCAGCCATCTTGATTGAAATATGTGTACTTAGCTTTATATGTGAGATATATATATATTGTAAAATGAGTAAATAGACATTTTCCTTTAACCAGGAAATATGTGTAGACCTTATTTCCACAACAATATATATATATGATCTAAGTATATTTTTTTTTTTTACACTAATAAATTTTATTTTCATTTTATTTTCAGCCAGCAGGGGGACCACCTGTCATTACAGGCAGCCCCCCTGCTGGCAATGCAGGAGGCAGCCTACACGGCCATGTGATTGTGGGGTCCTCGCTAGGACCCCACTCTCACATGGCCGGGGAGCACCGGAGGAGAAGGATCTGCCGCGGGGGGGGCTCCCTGGGAGTCCCCCCCACCGCGATCGCCGGCGTGGGACCGCCGGCGACCGGGTAAGTTAACAAAAACCGGAGGGCGTACAATTACGCCCGGCGGCGTTTAGAGCCGCCTATAATAGAGCGTAATTGTACGTCCTCCGGTTTTAAGGGGTTAATGTAGTTGTTCTGGTGAGTATAATAGCTCCCTTCAGGCATTTTCATGTAAACATTGCCTTTTCAGAGAAGAGGCAATGTTTACATTGCCCCTAGGGACACCTCCAAATGGCGACTTGTTAGATGGCCACTGGAGGGGCTTCCTGGCTCAGGGTTGCACAGTAAGCAGCCCTGCCGTTCAACGCCCCACGCTCTGCATGTAGACACTGAATTTTTCTCATAGAGATGCATTGATTCAATGCATATCTATGAGGAGGTGCTGATTGGCCAAAACAGTGTTTTGCCCCGCCCCCTTGCCAATTTTAACCACTCCAATGGGAAAGCATTGGATTGGCTAAAAATCTGCAATTTTGATGAGGTCACCAAGGGGGCAGGGCCAGCGCCTGCGGAGAGTTGAAATAAGGTGAGTTTTAACCCATTCTGAGGGGGCTAATGAGGGGGGGAGAGGGGCAAGCCACCTAAATGGTGAGTTTTCACTATAGGGTCAGGAATAAATGTTTGCGTTCCTGACCCTATAGTGATCCTTTAAACTACAGAAATACTCCCTGCATATGAGCGTAAATTATGTGACAATATGAACAGAGGTAAAGAATGCACTCTGATGCAGGAGTGTTAAAGGAACACTATAGGGTCAGGAACTCAAACACGTATTCCTGACCCTATAGTGTTAAAACCACCATCTAGCCCCCTCGCCTCCCTAAAAATAGTAAAATGTTACATGTATTCACGTCTACAGCTGCTCACTCTGTCCCTTATCTGCCTGCTTGGCTGACATCATCAGAAGTGATTCTCTGAGTCAATGACCATGCATAGGATTGACTGAGACTGTCAAGAAGGCATATCAGGGGCAGAGTCAGCACAAGCCAAACACAGCCCTGGCCAATCAGCACCTCTTCATAGAGATGAATTGAATCAATGTATCTCTATGAGGAAAGTTCAGTGTCTGCATGTAGAGGGCAGAGACACTGAATGGCAGTGCTGCACACTGTGCAGCACTGCCCCAGGAAGCACTTCTAGTAGCCAACTGAGGAGTGGCCAGTGGAGGTATCACTAGGTTGTAATGTGAACATTGCCTTTTCTCTGAAAATACAGTGTTTACTGCAGAAAAGCCTGAAGTGACAGATTATACTCACCAGAACAAATGCAATAAACTGTAGTTGTTCTGGTGACTATAGTGTCTGTTTAATGTGTAATCGGTACATACTGCAGGAATCAGATATAAAACCAATGGACACTCAGGATTGCAAAAAACAAACAAATCATATGCGTTATAGTGAGGCAAAAAGAAACAGGCCTTGACACTATCACTATTAGATAAGTGCGTAGAGGAGGTCTGCATAAGACCTATGCCACTATCCTACCACCACATCAGATAAGACATTAAAATGGAATCAATAAGGCAGAAAAGGGCATATAAGAGCACAGCTGGAGTGTATTAAAAA